AAAAAAAAAAAAGAAATAAGATAGTTCATTTAAAGTTCAGTGATACAGTGAAAAGAAGACAAATTCATTCCAGAAAAGTCTGAAGTCTGTATTGGAATGTAGGTCTTTCAACTTCTTGGTTTGTGATCTTGGGGAATTTGACAAACCAGGCTGAGCCTGTTTTTTGTTTTTTCCACCAAGAAAATGGATATAATAATCCATAACCTAGTGTTGTCAGAATTAAATGAAGAGGATATCTGTTATGATACCAGAAACATGGCACCTAATAATTGTATATACATTTTTTCTACTGAATTATCTACAAGAACAGAAAAATTGGGTAAAAAAAAAAAGAAAGAAAATCAGCTACTCAGAGACTGGGTGGAAAAACAATGCCTTGCCTATGGTAAGTTGGGTAAGTATTTGTTGTCTGAACTGTCTACTTGTTCTAAAATGCTTTGGAATCAAAAACAAACAGCCCAAGAATCTAGAATGTCTGTGTGATGTTTTTGTCAGCAGTCTTATTCTTTTAATTCATGTGATGGGTTCCTTTCTCAGTGCCCTGAGAAATGACTCCATGACCTCAACAAGAAAGCTGGGCTGAACAGTGCATTTGTTTCAATTACAAGAAATGTTTATGAAATATTTAGACAGGAGCTGAGTGATAAATATCATAACCACACTTTACAGATACATCCAGATATCTAAACAGAAATGCAATTTAAATTCCTAGTAAAAAAGTACAAATTATATGTCTAATATTGTACCATGGGTAACATGGGAACTCAAATTTCAAGCCAAAAATCTGAACTAAAATCAGTTTTATATTGAATGAGTTTGATCTTCAAAATACCTTTTGGTAATAGCTTCTCTGAGAGAAAAAAGAAAAATCTATTTACATCTGAATTACTTACTTGATTAATTATCTTATACCAACACATTACAGCTTGTGAATTCTGGAAATGTTATTTTACTGAGTTTGGTAAAGTGCTGGAATAACTAGGTTTTCAGTACTTGAAATGAAAATGATTGGGCAGAGTATGCTGATTATCGGTTATTAGAAATTAGAAAGACAAGCAAGACAAAGGGAGTTGCTAGGGAAATAAAGGGTTTACTTGCTCTGTCATGGGCTTATAATCACACTGGTTTTTCTGTATGTTTGCCAGAATGTTCTCATATTTAGTCGGGAAATAGTTCATCTGTTTATTTTAATAATGATGGTGTCTCTAGGAATGATTTATAAGCACATAAAGGCACCACTGCTGTGCTGTTGACCATAAAAATACAACTGAATACTAAATATTCTACCTAGTTTTCTCTAAAGGCTATTGAAGGGGACCTTCAAATGTTTCCATTGAAAAACTCTTGGTGAATTTTCCCCAGGTTCTAACAAGCTATATCAAAATAAAACTCATTTCATGGAAAAAAGGAATCCCACAGCACTTCTTTTTAATAACTGTTCAGCTACAAAATTTTATTGGTATCTTTTTATGTTCCCTCTAGAGGATGTAATGCACAAAAGCATTGCCACGGAACATATAAAATTACAAATGAAATTTATTGTAAAAAGTAGAATGTCTTCTAGATTGGTGTCAGTATTTATTTCATTCATAAACCAAAACTGCAGTATAATATATTCATTGTCAGCAAGTTCATGTGTGTAAATTGCCATCCAATGTTATTGACTGATATAAGACAGATATTGAAAAGACAACTTAAATGTACTCTTCCAAACATAAACTGTTCCACAAAAGCACTGTAAAAACTCCTCCAAGATTTTGGGTTGTGCTTGACATTTATGGTTAACTACATAATTTGGTCGTGTCATAATCCACTGTGTTTGGCAATTTGGCATTAAACGCCTGCAGAGCAGATTGGATCCTCACCACCTCACTAGTAGACAGCTTGAGTCTATGACGAAGCAAGCAAGAGAAAAGATCTAGACGACGCTGGCCAGGTGGGGAGAGTTTATTTACACGGTCTCTTATCTCTAGAAGTTGCAAAAGTGCTGAGTCCTGGGATCCCTGAGTATAGGGGTAGTCCAGCTGCAAAATCAAGTCCCGAATTGCTTCAGGGTCAAAGTGCATGCTGTAACCAAACACTTGAATGTTATTGATTTTCATATAGCCCAGGTTCCGGGAAGGGTCAATAAATTCCAGAGGTTCGTAGTAAATGCTCTCATTGCCATTGGGGCCATTTGACTTGATGCGACTCCTCAGGTAGATGTGCACTGTCTCAAAAAATGTCTTCCACTTGTTGCCCAGAGTCAGCGACCAGTTATAACACTGCAGTGGGAGGTCCAGCTTAGTCCGCTCCCAGTCTGGAAAGCTGTTTTCATTCACAGGCATAAACCAGCTCTCGGAGTGGCTGCCTCCGAAGGGATTGACGTAAACAGCCAACACCGGCTCCAAGGTGCTGTTCTTAGTTAAGCAAATCTGTAAAGAGAGACCCAAAATCATATGGACCAGACTTGACTTGTACTTGTTACTCTTCAAGGTGAGGAGCATCCGCTTACGCCAGGAGGGGTCGAACCAGCTATTGAGGCGCATGTCGTTGCTGATAAAAATGGCATGCACTTCTATTCGTCTGTCAGTCTTCTGCAACAGATATTTCATCTCCAGGTCTTGCAGGTCAGTCTCAAAGCCAATATAGTGATCGGTGGACTCGGCGACCTCAGGCTTGCAGAGGCCCTGGCTCAGCATGTAGCCCGTATTGCAAGTACCACAGCGGGTGCGGTTGTCGGGGGCGCAGGTCAGGCAGGCGGAGGCGTCGCCCACCGTGCAGGGCAGGAACGCGGTGCAGACCACCTGGTCGTTCGGGCACGTGCATGAGTGCATCTCTTCCGAAAAGCTGCCCAGGAGGCCATTCTCATTGCAGTAGAGAAAAGACTGGATGCGAGTGAGCCAGTAGGTTGAGGTTCTAGAAACACAAAACAACACGAATCTATATGAATACAAAGACATTTTTTGGTGTACTGCAGTAAAATTACCCTTAGCTCTGAAAGCTTCACCATCATTTCTTAGGTTCACTCCAGTTATTTAACCGGGATAAAAGATCCAGACGGTTTCTAATTGAAAATAGATACATTTTAATATAATATTTATATATGATATATATATATATATTATACTAGATAACTTTTTTCATTCTTCGTTGCACAAGGTTAGATGGGGATATATTTGATTTGAACTGAAATACTGCATGGAATACCTTCTGAAAAGATAGCCTGTCATTTTGCTAGGGTACTCCGAAGCTTATGGTGAACATAATTGGGTCAGTTATTGTTTTGAAATGCTAACCAGCAACAGGAAATAAAAGTGATATTATCATAAAATATCTAGAGTAGAATTAGAGCATATAAATGGTGACTGCTCATTCATTTGCTCTTAGCTTCATAAAGCACTAATGTTGCAGGAAGCCAAATAGGAAGTAAAATAAAAATGAAAGAAAAATAAACAACTCTAAAATGTCAATCAGTGTATTTAAATCCTCGGGTTTTATCAATATTGACAGAACAAGTACCCACTGAGAAGGAAAATACTATTAAGACATGTTTGACTTTATTCTTACAGGCTGCTCAAGAAAATTGTTGAAAATATCTCGTTAAAACCAACTACAAGTTATTTTAATAAGGGTTAAGTGTGTCAGTTTAATGTGTTTGATTTGAATCATTAACATTTTTCCTCACTTATACCCAGACATCAGGCTAATCATGATGCAAATGTAAGAATTTACTTTTCGTGTAAAACATTATTCAAACTCTTGGTGTGTTTAAAAATCTCAGTAAAATAACGAAGGAAAATTGTGTGGCCCTGTAATCAGATAATTCTTTGTTTTTATCGCAGCTGTATGATCACGGAAGAGTTGAAGGGTGTCTATAACGTGCCATTTTCTCGTGTGAAAAATGGGACTAGCAGTACCTTCCACAGTGAGTTCTTGTGAGAAATAGTTAGGCTCAGACTGCATGCACGTGGTTAGAATATTGCACAGTGTATCAATTTTTGATATTCTTATGCCTTTCTGGTGTTCATTATTTAGTACCTATGAGATTTTCTGCGAAATATATCTATTACACTCCATCCTTTACACTTACACACTGCTCCAGTTTCAAAGACTTTGTCCATGCAGAATACTGGTAAAACACAGGCACTAATCTGTCCAAATAACCAATAAAAACAATGCATTCACTATCCATAACAATATTTGAGCTATTTAAATTACATATTCATTTCCATTCCCTGCCCATCCTCCCTTTGCAATGCAACACCTTTTTTTTTTTTTTTAAGTGAGTTCTTCCTTGTTTTCCCAAATAAATCCAAAAACTCCTTTCTTCCCTCTCATGGCACTTACTTATCTTTTTCATGGTACCTTTTTTCACTTAAAATTTTGTATTATTCTGTACCCACTTGTTCATACTCCATTTATCCTATTAAATATAATTCCCAGCTTGCCAGAAGCCCGTATGCCTGCTCAGGGCTGTATATCCAATGCCAAGTAGACTACCAGGACATCACAGCCCTTTAATGTTTAATGAATCTTGAATCAAATGCATATATGAATTAAAAGACATTTTCTCAATAAGTATAATTTTGAGTGAAATTTAAAGCCCTAAAAAGAACATTTAATACAGTTGTAAAGACCCAGCTCTCTTGGGTTGCAGGAAGTAGAGTTACACAACATACACTTTGACTTTTGCACAATTAAATATATAAAAAGCTTTTCTTTTCCACCTTCCCTAAGTGTAACTTTTTTGTTATAGAACCAGAAGAAAAGAAAAAAAAAAAAAAAAACTAAACTAAACCAAACCCAACCAAAGCATAAAACATCTTCCTCTTAATTATTTCTCACACTGAAAAACACTGACTGGAAACTCGAACCTATTAAATTCATTTCTAACTTTTTCTAGATTCTTTAAAAATAAGTTCTCAGAAGAATTCTCCCAGGAGTATACCCAAGGGTGGTGAAATAGCGATGCTGTGAGGCTCTTTGGCACTTTGTGAGCCATACATCTACATATGAGGGCCTCTAGCTCTAGTTGTTTACTCCCCGCAGAATAAATGTGCAAAAAGCTTCTTTCTGTGGTGTATGAAATAACTTGATTCTTTCTCTACTGAGTTTAGACATATAGAAATTATTACTGATTTTTAATCTGCAGCTACTGATGTATTTATTCCATCAGTTTTCTCTTTCACAGGCTATTAATGTCTCTCCATCTTGGTTTCTTTCTCTCTCTTTTCTCTCCCTCCCTCCCTCCCTGCCTCCCTTCCTTCCTTCCCTTTCTTCCTTCCTTCCTTTCTTTTCTATGTTCTCTTCTCCCTTCTTCCCCCCTTTCTCTCTCTCTCTCTTCTGTAACTGTGTCTTTCTAATATAAAAAATATAAAATATATATCCTATCTGGATTGAAAATTATATTTTCTTCCCTGAAACCAAAGCATAAATTCCCTGAGCCAATTCATCTTTCATTGTAAGCTCTAATCATGTTTCCAAATCATAAGGACAAACAAAATATGAAATAAATAGACCTAAGGCTAAAGACAGAGCTCACAAAACTAGGGCACTGTAGAAAGAAGCATTTGGACACTTTAGAAAAGCAATGGCTTTTTCAGCTTTCAGTCTCTTCCAATCCTTTCCACGTCCCCGCAGATGCATTACTGAAGGAATGTGTTTCGGCTTCGTGGGTTTCAGCTTGTCATGTATGAATATTGATAACTTGGCACACTGTCAAAGCTCCCGTACCCTGGGACGGAAGAGCTAGCGTGTGGATTTTCTTCTTTTAGGCTTCTTGTCCTTTCTCCCCTCCTACCTACCTTTTGACTGTTTTACTGTATTTCACAAGTAAGGAATAGATTTTTAAAGGAAAATTTAATGCAATAATCAGTCTTTGCTTTACTCCTTGTAAAATCTTGGCTAAAGCAGGAGTCAAAAATAGAGAAGGGAGCCCCTTTGGATTTTTCATTTACCCAAATAATCACGTAGTTTTATTTTTCCCAACAAAGTAAAATTTAACTGCTTTTTTTCTTTATTCTAAAGCATTTAAACTTATTTTAAATAAGTTTGATTGTTAAGTAACTTTGTAAATTCATTTAATTAATGTAAAATAAATAAAAATCAAAAGTAGCCTGTATTGAGCATTTTTTTAAACACTCTGCTTCCTTTTATATCTAAATATATAAAGAAAGTAGTACCACATTTCTTTTATTCTCATCTATAGCTTATATTCATATTAATTATTTGGTGTCTCCTCGGGCTAAGGCTAGAGGATGCAATGTCAACAGATGACTCCTGGCAAGCAGGTCTTTTGGCCCTTTTCATCAAGCATGTGGCATGGTTTGTGCCATCTACTTAATTGCACTTTAATAAATATTTACTAAATAAAGGAAGTAATAAAGGAGGGAGAGAGGAGTAAGGAGAGGGAGAGACAGAAATTAGAGTGAAGAATTATGGATTATGGGAGAACAGAAGACAGAAATAGAAGAAAGAATTAAAAAGGGCATTGGCCTGTGATAGCTACTATGACATGGAGCATTTCAGGAAGGGCAGGAACTCCTTTATCTATCAGGAACTGAGTTTGCATTTTGGAAATACTTTCTACAAAGGCTTTTATGGGACAGTATTAAAAAGAGAAAAATGCCTCCCAGAGTTAAGTTAAAATTTTAAAATTTAGGTTAAAATTTAAGCTAAAAGCCTATAGCATGTTGCTATTTGAGGAATCACGTGGCATACGAATTTGGGAGCTTTACACAGCTGTTTAACCAGTTGTCTTGGTTCAATCTGTAATATTCTCCATGTGTTGAAGATCTGTTCTTCTCCACAGGATACGTCAGAATGCCCTAGACTAAAAGATGAATACCTGATTTCTGGGCTGGATTCTACCCGGTGACCTGGGACAGGTCACTTAGTGTCCTTAACCTTAAGCAGAGCTTGAAGAAACACTAAAAGTTTGGTTCTGCATGACCCTGGGGAATACAGATAGCTTTCTGAACCTTTGTGTGTTCCTGTGTGACTCCACTTGCCGATCTTTTGTCAGGGTGGAATGGTGTAACGTATAACCCCCATCATCCCTGTCTCACATGTGGTGGCTGCTCATAATGAAACAATGTGAATGAAATGCTTGTCTCTCAAAATTTCCTGTTACTAAGAATATCAACTAAGATATGGTCTTATTCTTATAGTTTCGAATGATGATAAGTGTGATTGGTGAAACAGATTCCTGGGCCTCCCTCCAGAGATACTATAAGAATTTCTAGGCGTAGGGCCCAGGAATATGCAATCCCAGAGGATGTTATGTACAGCTGGGCTGCAAGGTTCCTATGTAAGAAAATTAACAACCCAAATAGCGACTAGGGGCACTTTAAATACCATCTAGCCATCAGCATGTAAGAATACGTGCTATGGTGAGCGCTGTGAATTGTGCAAGACTGTTGAATCACAGATCTGTACCTCTGAAACAAATAATGCAAATTATGTTAAGAAAAAGAAAAAAAAAAGAAGATAGCAGGAAGGGAAAAATGAAGGGGGTGGAAATCGGAGGGGGAGACGAGCCATGAGAGACTATGGACTCTGAAAAACAAACTGAGGGTTCTAGAGGGGAAGGGGGTGAAGGGATGGGTTAGCCTGGTGATGGGTATTAAAGAGGGCACGTTCTGCATGGAGCACTGGGTGTTATACCAAAATGAATCACGGAACACTACATCAAAAACTAATGATGTAATGTATGGTGATTAACATAACATAATAATAAAAAAAGAAACATTGTTTCAAAAAAAAAGAATATGTTCAGAAAAGGTAGAGAAAAGTTACAATTTGTGTGGAGAAGTGTCAGCATCAGATGGCTACGCTACAGTTTGCAAACCCTACACCAGAAAATTTGCCATGTGCATACATTAAAGAACAAAACAAACACAAAGCCTAGCTTAATC